TACAGGTGCGATACTGATGGCCCAACCCAAGGGCGTGGCCACCGAGGCAACCTGAACGCTCCCCGGCTAGTGTTCCCATTGACCATGACAGAGAAATTCTTTTTGGAAAAAACAAGTTCCCAGACTTGTTATCAGGGAAGTTCAAAAGCCTGCATCTCTGATAGATTAGAGGTGCATTAGTGTTTATGGAGTTGCCACCTTCCAGGCAGTTCTGGGACTACAGGTGCAGCAGGTGGTGCTTTTCTATTTGTGCTCTATCCTTTTATCTTTGATATTTTCTCCTATTTTCTCCCACTTGCTTTTTTTTTCTCCTGCCTGTTAGCTTAGAAATGGTCATATTACACTGTAATAACTGAAATAACACTAATAGAAATGAATACATAAACAAATACAGAAACACACAAAATGGAGGAGCATATAGAGATTTTATGGCGCTCATCTTGGAAAAGCGAAATATGTTTGGCACAACATGGGAGTCAGCTAATAATTCGGATTACAAAAGCTGCGAGGCAGGACAGGTTTAATGGGGGGAAAAGTTGTTTTTCTAATCTAGTTCCCTTCTGGGTTTTTAGTCTATTTTGTATCCATTTAGTTCGTTATGTGTTCCTGCCTCTGTTGTGTTCTTGTATCAGACCTAATCTCATTTCGGTATTGTGGCACTTGCTCCTTGTGTTAGTTTACTGATAATTGTGTAGTGTTTCTAGTTTGAGGCCTTAGTTTTACTTCTCTGGGCTCTGTTCTGGGTTATTAGGTTGTGTTCCTTTCCTCTTTGTAATTCCATGTTTAGGTACTTCATGTTGTATGTTAGGCGTTGTTTGTCTCCTGTGCTTGTGTATGGTTTAAAGCCTGTGGTGTCATCATTCCTGATTTTTTTTATTTTTTTTCCTTTATGTCCCAGCCTTATCAGTTCACTCCCGAATCCTGATTTCTGCATTTGGGTTTGATACACTCAATACACAGCTCTACACCATAGAGTTACTGCCATCAAATTCCATCCACCCATTCTCTTACATTTATCCTTATCAGGGTTGCAGGGTATCTGGAGCCTATCCTCAGTCCAAAGACATACAGTTATTGGGGTTGAGTTAAGTGGTAATTCTAAATTACCCATGAAAGGTTGTATGTCTCTCTGTGTTAGCCCTGTGACAGACAGGCAGCCTGTCCGGGGTGTACCCCGCCTCTCACCTTGCAGTAGGTGTGACAGACTCCAGCCCCCTGGGACCCTCACAATAAATAAGCCATTAAAATCAAAATGAATTATTTGTGTTTCTTTAAATTTTCCATTTTATCAGTTTTAACATTTGATATGTTTTCAATGTTTGTGAATAAGATATGGGATCATGAGATGTGTAAAGCATTATATTCTGCTTTTATTCAGATTTCATACACTGTCCCAGCTCTTTTGGGACTTGTTGTATCACATGTGAGATGCTGAAGTTCTTTAAAGTGATTACTGTTTTTTTTCCCTCCACAGTGTGGAGAAAGTTGGTGCAGGTAAGGTGATATAAAAACAAAAAAGGGAATGGCAAGCACCTTGAGATGACTGTTGTTTTGGTGTTGTACAAATAAAATGGAATTGAATTGAAAGGAAGAAAGGAAGAGGTTGTGGCCACAGACTGAATAAGAGAGGTGCTGCTAAACGAGTCTTCCTTCAGAGTCTTCACAGATACATCGACGGACTGAGGGCTGGTGAACTCCTGCATTCCATGTGTGACAGTGAGGCAGTGCATTACAACTCTGCTTAAAATGATGGGTTACCAGCTAGTGAACTGGTTGACTTGAACAAGTGTTGTATTTTATTTTATTTTTCTTTGTTAAAATTCATGGTAAACATTACAGTTTTGTTTGGGTCATTAAATTTCAGGGCTTTTTAAGAGAGGCCCTTTTTTTAGTTTGCAAAAGGGCAAAAGTTTGATGGCTTCTTTTTTTATCAGGTATGAAGAGTTCGTCATGTTTTATTAATTTAGATATCAGTGATTGAGACATCCAATGTAAGTCAATCACAAGTCTGTTGGCAAATAGTTTTCTGAAGTACTAACAAATAAGTAGTTACTTTTTATTACAGTTTATGCTCCACAGATTACTCTTTTGGATTCAGGATGTTATCCTGTATACTCAGGACTCTTTCAAAGATTATGTGAATCAGAGCTGAAAACTGACGATCTGAATTCAGTGATCCTGATGATGGCTTCAAAGAAATATACAGGGACATACCAGCTCACAGCTATTTTAGAACAGATGGTCAGTTGTAATAACACTGGACTGATGTCAGATTGTACTGATGGAAGCCTATTTAATTCAAGAGCATGGATATATTGTATTCTTATATTTTTGTAGTGCATTTGATGATGTCAGACATCTTTTTCTAATGAAAACTTTGCACTACTTTGGATTTGGAAAGAAGCTTGAACACGCAATCCATAAACTCCAAATTCAGTTGCATTTATACCAAATGCATCAACATTTTTAACCACATTTTGTATAACAAAATTTGTTTACTAAATTAAAATTACATTATCTATATCTTAAATCACTTTGAGACATTGGAAAAGAGAATGCTGCATAGGTTAAACTGGACAAACCATCCTTCTGAGATGAGATAAAAACTTATCCCACTGCCTTCAAGATGGATGGATAAAGAAGACATTGTGTACTCTGAGACTTCTCCTGGACTCAGACAGCTCTGCATAGCAGCAATTGACTTTTGTGATGATAAATGTACAAAAGGTTTTTAGAAGCATTCAGTTGCAGAAAGTCTAATCTTCTTCTATTTTGAAGGAATTTGAGGCTGAGGAGGTTCATGTAACAAGGAGTAAGCATATTTCTCTCCCTCTTCCTCCCAAAGGGAAAGAAGAGAAATTCAAAATTGTAAATGAATTTACCAACAAAATAATCATTCAGGCTTTAGTTGGTTTTACTTGGATATGACCACCTGAATATTCTGTGAAGATGATATAGAAAGTGTGGATTGTCTGCTTTTTCCACACTGAATCACTGCAGGCTTTCTGGAATCACAGGAGGAGTTGGTTACAGTCCAACAGGATTCAATAAAACAGTATGGAATATGTTTTGGGGCTTTGGTATCAGGACTCTTTTTTTCTTTAGGAACTTTTTTTTTTAATGCTTATGCTTTTTTCATGTTAATTAATATTTTTAATATTTATTGTATTTGATATGTCTCTTGATATGTCTCCTAAACACTCAGCCTTTGTATAATTTATTTTTGTTTGGTGGATAAGTATGGCGCCTCATCTGTTCGTATTGCTATTGTTCATTAATAAAATTGGGTGGAAAAGTTCTCTTGTACGACGTTGAATTTCAGGACTTCTCTCTATTGATCTGGTATTTTCATGCGGTCAGTTTTCACAGCGACACTTCAGGACAACAAAGGTACTGCAAGTTTAATGCAGTTAAAAAACAAAAAAAGACACCCCCCACCAAAAAAAAAAACCAAAAGACAAAAACAAAACTATTCGCCGTGAATTTACAATAGATCTTTGTGGGAAAACGAATCGGTAAAAATCCAGCTTTTATGTATGACACACCACAGACAGTAGTTTACACAGGACACACAGTCATCCTCATAATGACTGACAATAAAATAATTAGGACACCTGTACAGGCTATCCGGGGAAATTAACGCAATTTAACAGCAAATATTCTAGATTTTTTTCTTTTTTGTTATTTTCTTCTGTGAGCAGCTCGTTATCCTGTTCTGCACAGCATTCACCCCTGCAGAGTGAAAGTGAAAGTATCCCGACAAACTTCCTGTAACAATCGCGCAGCAAGGGGTATGACCGTGGAGGGCACCGGGGAAGAATCATGAGTTTAATATTCACGATATTTATTTACTGGTCTCTAAGTACAGGTGAGTTATTGTCACAGATTACAGCTTGTGTGTAGGTCAGCAACAAGTATCGGCACTACAGGCTACCACATGAACTTAACACTGTTTGATCTTCTATGCCCGTGTGTGTCATTCAGGTGTGTGGAGTGTCCATCAGATCCTGTGGCTGCCCTGCTACTTCATTGATGAGCGTGTGTTTTTGAATAAGGACAACCACACAGAGACTCAGCTCATCCACAGAGAGGCTATACTTCAGTTTGGTCAGAAAGGAGATGCTCCTGTTAACCCAAACGCCATCACTTTCCTGATCACCAGTGAGTTACTGCAGCCTGCATGAGGAGAAGGCTGAAAACAACATGAACAACAACAACAACAACAACAACAACAGTGTGTTAGAGTTTATTTTATTGTCTTCTAGGATCAAAGTTGGATCTGCTGCAGTATGTGGAGGGGGTGGAGGCAGAGCAGCTGAAGTGTGAGCTGCACAGATACAGCACAGAGGGCGGTTACGTCCGCTGGCCTGTCCTCGGTGCCCGGGAGTACAACCACTGGTTTACCTGCATCCTCAGACACAGCAGGGGCCTCTTCACCATCACCAGCTTCCTCAGGCGCCCCTTCGACCAGCCTCCCCCAGGACGGCCAGACTACCACAAATGGCCCCCCATCCCTAACAGAGAGGTACTCACCACCACAGGTAAACTGAACATATGAGGATTTCAGACTAAAACTGAATATATTTGTCTTAAAAGTTTGTTTTTTGTTGGAGTTATGACTAGTTGTTAGTATTGCTGTGCCAGACCCCATAAAGGAAGAAAATATAAATATTGTGGGAACAAACTTTGACTGAAGGAAAATAAAAGAATTAACTTGATTGCAAATGGTAAATGGTAAATGGCCTGCATTTGTATAGCGGTTTTCTAGTCCTAAGGACCCAAAAGCGCTTCACACTACATTCAGTCATTCACCCATTCACACACACATTCACACACTGGCGATGGCAAGCTACATTGTAGCCACAGCTGCCCTGGGGCGCACTGACAGAGGAGAGGCTGCTGGACACTGGCGCCACCGGGCCCTCTGACCACCACCAGCAAATGACTAACCATCCATTAAAACAAATAATAAAATGTTCATAAAATAATTAAAATAATGAAATAATAAAAATGTACTTAATTCTTCTCATAAAATACATTGATTTGGTCAGTCTGATTAATAATTAAATGAAGAACTACAATCAAAGTTAGACATCAGCAGTCTCACCCGATGACATATTTACATATCTACAAAATGTATTAACACCAGCACATAACCTAGAAATGTTAGTATTTGTTTGAGAGAGAGTGCGTCCCAGAACAAATGTGTATTTGTCCTATAAGATGTGGTTGAATGCATCATTAATGACAACAAAGAGCATCTGTGGCAGGTGCTTTGGATTTCCTCAACGTGTGCAGGAATTTTTAAGCTAATTAAAGATAAGAAAGTGTTATCATGTGGAACAATGGTACTGAGTTAATGAGGAAGATTGCATGCATGTAACAGGAACCTGTGTCTGTGTAACTAATATCAGCCAGTTGGTGTTAATGATTACATGGATGAGACAAATAAACACATGTACACAGATAAGAGGTAAGGATCCTTGTGTTAAGCTATATGCACAGTAGGCTGTACCCAGGTGGTTTGTTAACTGAGTGGTATATGTACCCAGCTAACCAGGAATCTTCAGCCGTAATGGCCTAGAATTAGGGATTGCCAGAGGTGTCACATTTCAGATTTAAGAAATGTTGCACCACTTAGGGTTCATCTTCAACTTTCAATACACAAATGAAATATGGCCTTTCCCATGGCTCCTACACTGTTATTGGACACTTGTATTGAGAAATGTGCTTAACAACTCGCATGTGTTCATGTTTGTCACACTTTTCCACAGTCGCCATGGTCATCAAAACACAGACTCCCTCAGTTAAAGCACGCCTGAAGTTCCAGCAAAAGCTCCACTGCCAGTTTGATGTCGACCACAAAGGTGCAAAGGTCACTGTGGAGTGGCACAAGCAGCACCACGGTGAGAGGACCAAGCTCTTCAGTTACAACAGGCGCACAGGACAGACCCAAGGAAGTGGTGTTGGACTACGTGCCTTTGCAGCCGGAGATGCCTCCTACACCCTCGCCTCCACCATGATAAGCAGTGAAGGGACCTACATTTGTTCAGTGTCCGTGAATCCACTATTCGGCAGGGTGGATATAAATCTGCAGATTGAAGGTGAGGAAAACAGTCAGAGAGTTCATAGGCCATGGACAAAAGTACTAATACTAAATTGTGCTTATATGCTTTCAACCACATTTACTGATGGAGTTTAAGGTGGACTGTGAAAAAGCTGTTTGTGATGTGTACAGCATAGTGTGACAACCATAAATACTCTTATTATTACTGTTTAAAGTTTGCTGGAGATGTTTACTGCTATCAGAAGCAACGTCAAAAATATGTGGTAGAACCAGTCCGTCGCTGTTTCCTGTTGCATGCCTGCTGTCACTCACTCTGCTGTTCACGCCCACTTTTCAGCATTATCAGCATAGCGTCATCGCCATCAGGCTACATGCTGTTGGAGGGCTGCACATGAACATGTCTGCAAAACCATGTCTCCTGAATAGGGCAAAATAGCGTGTAAAAGTATCTTTGTAAATGCTGACAAAAATTTTTTTTAACTCTTTTTTTTTTAAATTCAGTCTTTTTTTCTTTTTAAAAAAAAAAAGCAAATCAGGCTCTTAAAGTGTTCATTCTCATCCTATGTGATAAAAGTCGTATGGTGTGGATGTGTTTTTTAGAACTCAGAAATATAGAAAGTCAGCAGAAAAGCCACTGTTCGTTTCAGCTTTTAAAGTAATGTTTTTTGCTTTCCTCAGAGCCTCCCCATGTCTCCCTCAATGTGGGACCCAGTCTCTCACTAGTGGAGGGTAACAAGAGGAAGATTGTGTGTGGGGCAAACAGCTACTACCCTCGGGATGTGGAGATAATTTGGTACGAGCAGGATCCAGTCATGTTGGACGCTCCACATCCCAGGTCACTGGAGAATGTCTTCCTTTCCTACCACAAAGAAAATCGGGACATGACCTTCTCGTTGTCGGGCTTCTTCTACCTCCAGGCTTCGCTCAGGGACTCTGGGAAAAGGTTCACATGCAGTGTTTCCCATCAGTCCCTGAAAGTGCCCATCACAAAGAGCTTCACCCTGATTGTGGAAGGTGAGTCTCAGTGTAATACTAGGAGCTAGCATCTGGGAGGAGCAGAGCTTGATGTGTGTTCTGTTTCAGAGCCAACAAACTGGATGTTGTACCTCGCTGTGGGCTCTGTTATGATCCTGCTGTTGTATGTGAAGCGGCGCTACCTGCACTCAGGTGAGTGATACAGACCTGCTGCTACATCAAAACACACACACAAGGAAAGAATACAGTCACACGAGCTTGCTGTTTTGGAGTCACTGACATGAAAGCATGTAATATGAAGATCATTATGACATAACTCGTTGATGTTCTAGAGGGTAATTGTCATTTTTCTTCACAGCATGGAGAACGTTAGCGGGTAAGGCGATATGAAAACAAACAAACTAGAGGACTGGGATCAGAGCGAGAGGATGTGGCCCCATTCTCAACACACAAGGCTGGCTGGCAAACTGTCCTTTCTGGGGTCCCCATAGAAACACCAGTGAAAGGTAGATTTGTGTCGATGTGTAAACTCCTGCATGTATGAATGTAAAACAGTGCAATAACATTAAAACTACTGAAGATTACGGGTTAGCAGCTGCTGAGCCAGTGGATTCAGGAGCCAGGACTGATTCTTCTGATGCACGAGACACTTTTTGGACTAAACACTGGGGAGACAAGGTTCTATATAGAGCTGAATAAAAACAGAATATTGGAAACTGAATGTCAGTTTACTAAATGAAGATTACTGTAAAATTAATAAATATAATAAGGATGCTGAAAAGAATGAATCCACTGTAGATTCAGGTTAGCAAACAGGAACAGAAAGATCTCTTTCAGACTGGAATGAAATGCAAACCAAGCTAGTGTACTTCTAGTGCTGGTTTATCAAGGCTGGATAAACAGGAGGGTTGCATCAGGAAGGGCATCCAATGTAAAATCTGTGATAAATAAAATATGCACTACCTTTACTATAAGCTTTTATTTAAACACTTAGGTGAAAAATAAACCAAGTAAGATGATGTTTGGAGAGCG